GTTTGTTCTGCAGCCCCGAGGGGCAGCGCTACGGGACCAACCGGGCAGTACCCCAGCTGCTCTGTCCCAGGCATCCCCAAGAGCAGCTGGAGTGCTGCTGGGTTGGTGCCATAGCGCCGCCCCTCGGCTCTGTGGGACCAACCCGGCAGCACCCCAGCTGCTCTATTGCAGGCATCCCCGATTCAGCTGCCTGGGGCAGAGCTGGACTATTGTAAGGGGGGGGCTATGAGGGGTCTGGGGTGGCATCCCATCCCACCCCACTCCAGACCCCTCATAGCCCCCCCTTCTGATAGTCTGGCATATCTGATAATCCGGCACCCCCTGGGTCCTAAAGGTGCCGTATTATCGGAAGTTTACTGTACTTCTAATTATCAAATCTGCCATTGCTATTGCCTGTGTCTTCCTAATAACAGATGTCCCCTGCCCCAGAGAAGTATCTTCAGTGTAAGAAGATCATGACATCACATCTGTAAGGAAAGTCCCAACCTTGGGATTATTTTCTTCTGCTCCACCTCAATGTTCTCACTCCGAGACTTTCATCCTCTCCTCTCCAAAAGCACAGAGACTGGTCGGACTGGGAGATGGAATTACTCTGTGTCCTGGAATGTTTCATTTAGGTACCTCTCTGTCTCTTAGCTCTTCCAGTTCAGCAACTTCAGTCTCAAGAACTCAGGTACTGTGTCTGAGTGCTATGAATAGCTTGCATCAAATGCATACATGCACCTGCTCACAAGGCAGATAATCTTACATGCTGCATTCAGATTGCACTCTGATGCTGGACTTCTGCCTACGTTCGTTCGTTTTCTCTCTCTCATGCTTATTTTGAAATAGTTTATTTCAAAATTGGGAGTGTTACACAGCACTTATTTTGAAATAGAGCGCTCTTCCTCTGACTTCCCTTACTCTTCATACAATGAGGGTTACAGGAGTTGGAGTAAGTCGTCCTTCAGCTTGACAGTATTTTGACATTATTTCAAAATAACTGCCTGCTGAGTAGATGCGTACTAAGTTATTTTGAAATAACACGAGTTATTTCAAAATAATGTTGCTGTGTAGGTGTACCCTCAAACAATGATTATTAGGTGTATCTGGCTCTCTCACTCGCTCTCTCACTCACTCTAAACTTTATCACAAAACTATCCTGCTCACTAGTTCTTGTCCTGTGTGCCAGCTGCTGTGCTTGCTTAGGGCTTTTTAAAAGAGTTAGCCACACCCTTTCACCAAGGCAAATTAACGGGATTAGGGGTTCAGTCCAAGGGCCATAACCTCAGGTGGTGGATCACTCCATGGAAGGCACTGCAGTCAGGCTCATTTACACCAGCCAACAATCTGGTCCAAGGATTCACTTAGTCAAATATCCCCTTATGATTTTTTTTAAACTGTTCATGGCTAGAAAAAGGATCTTGACATTTTTTAATAAATATCACCAACTCAGGAACTTTTAAAATGTGTTTTTAAAAATTGTATCCGCAGAGATGTTTTTATACTCTATACTGAATCTGCTTCAGAAATATAAATCTTTATTCTGGATGGCAAAATGCAGACAATATTAAAAATGGTATAATTTGATGCCCATTTAGAAAAGGTAATTCTTACACACTTCTGTAAGATATTCTCCATAAATTATGGCTAGCAAATTTTACATCATCATAGCAGCTATATGCATTATAATGTAGCTTTCTGGTTCCTTTGTGCAAATATTTTTCTTAAGGTCTGCACTTCTGCTAGGGAATGGACCGTAAAAGGAAACCCATAAAGACACAGAAAAACAAAGTACAACATTCTATTTGTATAAAACTACTCCTATTTTGCTGGGCTGCCTCATTGAAAAAGCAAATGTGAATTCAGCTCATACAAAAACAGAGTTAAGTTTTGCCCAGAATGTGTGTGTGGCCTGGGTTGATCGAATGACTGAAAATCCACAAGCTTAACCTCTAACTTTAATATTTCCCCTGAGCATCATTCTCTGTTGCTTTATATAAAAGCTGCTGTATATGATTGGGTAGGGCAAGAATTTTAATAGAATTCTTTCTATAAAGTTCTTACATATTCCACAGGCTTGAAGGATTTGAGTGTAGATGCTGGACAGCCACAGGAAGTGAGATCAGTGTAGAGGCCTTCTTCCAGCACACAATGATTGTCAGCAATTTCCCCTTGATAAAACAGGAGCCAACTGAAAGAATAAGTATAACAAAAAAGTTTAATAGATGCAGTCAGTTAAGTTCTGTCAAGATCAAATATTTTCAAGGTGAATAGGAAATAAAACAAGGATTTTTTTTTAAAGTAGTACAGGGCATCCCCACTATACATCCAAGATTTGTTCCAAAAAACGTGGATGTAAAGCGTAATGACAAAGCAGGGAATTTTTTTTCCCCCCACAGCTGACTTCTGCTTGTGTGAATTGATTTTTTTTTTTTTGCATGACGTGAAAATGGGGAACGGGAGGACTTCTAGCGCAACAGTTTCTACAAACATCAAAGACATTAATGCAGATCCAACGTATGCCAGGGCAATGTATAGCAGGGACACCCTGTACTATAAAAAAAGTGAAACCAAAGACTAATTCAATTTTCTGCTTCTGCTGCATTTCTACATGGTATACAAATGTCAACCTGGACTTTAAAGGGGGTTATTGGAATGCAGCTAGATTTACTCTATCGATTCACTGAAATTTTGAACAAATCATAAAGGCAGATTCAAATCACAACAATTGGCAACTTTCCCATAGGAAAGGAGGGGAGGGAACACATTAAGTCTCTTTCTTTCAGAAAGAAGAGCGTTATCACAGCAGGCTGCAAGACAGTAGGTATATGACAAGATGGAGCAGGATGGTAGTGCACTGGATACATCTGACCATTTGAAATTTTAATGTAGGTTAAAAAGTGCTCTCTAACTACTTAAAAATGGTGGTGGGTAAAACAATACACTTACCATCCTCGAAGAACCTTAAAAGAACATGGTATGAATGATGTAAAATCAGAAACTTCTGCTGTGAAATCTACACATGCTCCTTGGAAATGTGTGTTACTATAAGCTTTGAGCTACAAGAACAACAACAAAAATATGATGACTAGAAAAAAATGTACTCATCACAATAAGCAGAGAGAGCTGCAGGCATAGGGAAATATTACTGCAATTTACAGAAGTACTAATGCATATCTAATGGATTCCCAAGAAAATTTAAAAAAGTCTTAAATTTCCATAGCACCTTTTCTTTTGAGGTTCCAAAGCCTTTTATGAACTATGACCAGATATTGCAGTCCTTAATTGAGAAAGAATCTCCTACCGATATCAATGGTAGTGATAGTACATATATACTCATTTGATGATACCAGGAGTGTTGCCAGATAAGGCACAATAATAGGATTGAAAAATCTGGACTCATACAAATAGCACCATTCAGATGTAGTGAGTTTTTGGGTACAGGTCAGCAACCAAATGGAGCACAACAAGAAGGGAAAAAGAAAGAAAGTAATTTTAAAAAAAAGTGTGTTAGAATCATCTCTCACCACAATGAACAGAGAGAACATTTTATTTAAAAAGCTTGCACTAGAATTTCTGGTAAGACTTGCTGTGTCAGGTGTGTCTGAAGTCCAACCCAACAAGTTTGCAAACACGGATGCTCTTATAAAGAGTTTTAGAGCCATTTAGAACTACATCTTGAGCAGGAGGTGTTTGACAATCTCTCCATCAAAAGGAAGTGCTGCATTAAAAGATGTTAAAAACAAAGTCTATAGCAAAATACAGCCCATAGTCCACAGTATGGGGAAGAAGCTAAGAATTCTGCACCCCTCAGGCAGTTCCTGGATAATGGATCATCTCAGAGATGGCTATTGCTGTGCTGAAGTCTAATGAGCAAGAGCAATACAATGAAAAAGTAAGGCAAAAAGGAGGAAGAAATCTCATTTGCATTTCTACCATTGTTTTTGACAAGAAGGTTCAGATGTCATTTAACCACATACTTTAATTCCTCAACACACTGCTGGATTGCTCTCTCTAATGTATTTTCTAAAGTGGGGGAAGGAGGGGAACCTAAGGCCCAGGGGCTAGATGTGGTCCCCAGCTTGCTTAGATCTAGCCCCTGGGGCTCCTCCCCAGCATTGAGGAGCCCCTGCTGCCTGCCACCCCTGACATTCTTCTGTGGTCAGCGGCCCCCAGCCCCAAAAAGTTTCTCCACCCCTGCTCTAAAGCTATGCCTAATCTTCTGGTAAATGCTTGACACAATGATTTCTGCAATTAGAACCATGGCACAAAGATGCACACAACACCACTTGCAAGGTTCTGAGGACCCATTCTAGGATCAAGTGGATTAATTTTTTGTAGTGCCATTCAGAGTAGGACATTTATCATCTGAATTAACAGAATTTACCATAGTATTTTCTGTTTTAAGATTAGCGATCAGCTGGTAGACTCTGACAATTGATTTTTAATGGAACCCATCATACACGTTTGAAATCTGACCACTAATCTAAAAAACTTCACTTGTTTCCTGAGTGCTAGTGCCATTTCATAACACACTTGAATTGCACACTCCAGAAGGATACTCAGTCTTCAAATATATCTAAGTTGTTTTGTAGGTTGCCTTTAAGAGTGCCTTAGTTAAGACAGGATACAATGGACACTATCAGGTAATGTGACCAACTTTTATCAGGTGTTATGAAAGTTACCTGATAGTTTCAAGACTGATGAAAGCTGCTTCTATTTACTTCTTATTTTATAATGGACTTCTGGTGCCATAAAACCACTTATTTAGTTTCCTCTACAAGGGAAAACTCTACTATAATACATAGGCTCTAAGCAGGGGCCTCTATACCACTTCTCCATCCAAGGGATACATGGAGCATAAAGCCCTAAATGGCCCCTCTGTACTGAGACAAATTTCACACTAAAATTTGAAACAGCATTGTATAACATAGCAGCAAAATATTGTTGCCAGTACTCCTCCCATCCTCATGCCCCAAAGTGGCCCCTCTCCCTTCCAAAGAAAAGAAATCCAATCTACAGAGACTGAGAAAAAGCCAAAACCACATATTAGAAAATTGTATTATGGAAAAACAGTCTTTTTTTTTTTTTTAAAGAAACTAATGTAATTCCAGTTACAAAGAACAAGAAGGGTGTAATCTTGCCCTTATGTGACAACTGTGAATTGAAAAAGACAAGCCAGTCACACAGACTGGATACACTGCTGCCGATTCTCCTGTGTTTGGACTTGTATTACTGAGCACAACATTGATATTTAGATTACCCTTGTATTGCACTTTTCATGCATAGATCTAAAAATCCTTTACAACTGAAGGTAAGTGTCATTTTTTCCATTTTTACCAAAGCAGAAAACAGAAGCACAAAGATGAAGACATTTGCCCATGGTCAAACAGCAGCTCAGTGATAGAGTCAAAAACAGGATTCACATCTCCAAGTTCCTAGTTGGTGCTTGACACTTCCTCCCTGTAGCATGTGCCCCAGGCTATGTGACAGGATTAGAAAGATTGGGATGGGGAAAGTCAAAGAACATATAATGTATTAAATAATGACTGAGAAAAATGTTCTTCTCCAAATGACTAGAAAGAAAATAGTTGAATGGAGAGATCTGATGGTCTTGACTTCAGAATAATCAGAGAAGAAAACATTCCATTAGTGATATCACTGCATTTATACAGTCTGATTACAAACACAGACTGAACTAGTTATAACTTAAAACACATTAAATCTAATAAATCTGATGTGGATAAAAGAATCCATTTAAAAGCTCCATTTCTTCAACAGGCAGTAAGTGGAAAAGATACACAGTGCAAAGTTACTAGAAGTATGTATACGGGTCTGCTAAAGTATTTGAACAAGCCAACTGCCACAGGCAGATTAATGAAAATACTTTGATTTTCCTTGGGAGAGTGAAGGAAAAATATTGTTTTATTTTTCATGAATATAGCTATTGTATTTTAAACCTGGAGATTTCAGTCTTACTTGGAACATGCATGTAGTTTATGAAGGAGTCTGGCAAAGAGGAAAGATCAAGACCCACTTATTGCAAGATTTCAGAATACAACACTTAAGGTCAGCTGAAAGAAATAGCAAGTGAAAAGGTTTCTCTCTTGTGCGAAGTGAGTAGGATTTCCTTATTTTGTTATCTATGCCTATAATAATAGATAGGAAAAAAATTTGCAGAGCTATATTGGTACAATGAGGATTCAGACTTGTAAAGTTCAGCATTCAGCTATGTTAAGGTTTCCCTAACTCTGGTGAGCCATCCGTAGTAATTATTGCAGACATGCTAATTGTAATATTATCTTTACACTAGAAGAAGGACAGATTTATTTTCTCAAAAACTTTTACTTACCCTGAGAGTTGTTACAGGAGCTCTGAGGTGAAGCTAAGGAAGGAGGAAAGCAAGTAACTGCTATCTTCAAATTGTCATAGTTACCGTAGGGGAAAACATACTTTATTATAACTAAGGTGTTGTGGGGAACTTGTTAAGATCACATCGGGTACGTCTAGACTACATGCCTCTGTTGTCAGAGGCATGTAGATTAGGCTACCAGACATAGGAAAATGAAACAGCAATTTAAATAATCGCTGCTTCATTTAAATTTACATGGCTGCTGCGCTGAGCCGACAAACAGCTGATCAGCTGTTTGTCGGCTCAGCGCAGCAGCCATGTAAATTTAAATGAAGCAGCGATTATTTAAATTGCTGTTTCATTTTCCTATGTCTGGTAGCCTAATCTACATGCCTCTGACAACAGAGGCATGTAGTCTAGACGTACCCGATGTGATCTTAACAAGTTCCCCACAACACCTTAGTTATAATAAAGTATGTTTTCCCCTACGGTAACTATGACAATTTGAAGATAGCAGTTACTTGCTTTCCTCCTTCCTTAGCTTCACCTCAGAGCTCCTGTAACAACTCAAGAATGTGATCACATTAACATTTTCATCACTTTTTCCTGTGGCAAGTGACATCAGGGCAGCATGACATGGCATACATATTTGTACAGAGCAAGTGATTTAAAAAAAAAAGTTTCTGATGTAGCAGTGGGTGGAAGAGAGAGAAAGAAAGAAGCAGTATTGCAAGATTGAATCAGTTGCAAATAGTTTCTCTGTTGCTGATGGGTAAGAATCATCAAAGGTTTGGATACTTATATTAACTATTTGAATCTCTTAGGTTTGCAAAACAGGTTTAAGACATTCACAAGAACAGCATTTGACAAATTCTGAAGAAGAATGAAGTTGAGGAAACCGAGAAAAAAGTTATTAAAACTAGCCGGAATCTCTGAAACAAATTTGGTTTGGTACCAGTTTCATTTTTCAAATCAATTATTTATCTGAAATGGATTACCAAACCTTCTTTGTGAAAGTGTATGGGATTTTTGGGAAGTGGCTGCCGTGGAATGAATAGGTCTGGCAGAAAATCAGTGTTTATGGCTAAAGCAATACATCAGTATGTCTTTAGCTAGCAAACATTTCCTGCACGCCTGAGTACACCATAAAAATTGTAGTACCTGAACATCCTTGGAGTGGAGAAAGGACCACCTGACCATAGCCTAATTAATGTAAAGTGTACATTGTCCACATGTAGATGTGTATAACATACATGTATACGCAATACGGATACTGAAGATGCTACCTAGATGATAAAATACTTAAATATCTTAAACTAGAGTTTCCAGTATTGTGGCATGCTTATTAAAACATGCATCTTTAGATGGGATTTTCTAAGGTTTTCTTTATTAAAAGTGACACAAAGAGAAAGAAAAAATTCTGTTGTTTATATCACATTGAACCTCTATTCCCAAAAGCACAGCTTTAACAGCTAATATTTCTTTTTGGGCAAAGAATGCCCTAATGAAAAGAGGAATGTAGTCAAGGAACTGAGATGCACCCAGTTAGAAGAGAATCCTTAGCAGATAAAGATTCTGGCTGAGCATATGCATGCAAAGAGGTTTCTAATTTTAGAAAGATTATGTACAAAAATGTTATGGATTTAACAGAAACTTATAAAAATTCAGCTAAAAAATGGAAACCCAAACTAAGCCATTCTGAAAACAAATTCATATTACAGTAAATCCTCTTATAATGAAGCAATATTGTCATAGAATTTTACTAAAATTGTTTTCAGCATTGAATTAGGATTAGCTATAAAGGGCTCCACTGTGTATTATTAACTCACTAATATGTGTTCAGTCAAACTTAGTGAGCTAGGGTGGAGGAAGGGAAGCTCAGAGCAATCTGGGGACTGCAGCTACAACAAAAGTCATGTATTTTATGAGGAGCGAGCAAAACTCCCCTCGTCACTCCATCACACAAGAAGCGTGGATACAAACGGCAGAATTGCTAAAAGAGATGATATTTTTAAAATCCACATTCAGGAAAACAAATAGCAGATAGTTACTTGTGCGGGCTTGTGGATGGTTTTTTGTAGTTCCAGTTTCATAATTATGTACTTCAGACATTAAGAAGTTACAGTTACAAAGTGGGACAGATTATTTACAAAGGAAAGATAATATCCCACAAAGAAAAAAGTAAATGAGTGTGACAGTGCTTTTCCAGAGAGGCAGAAAGACTGAAAGGGAGAACGTGAAAAGAAACAGTGAGACAGATTCAAAGTGATCCCAAGCCTATAAAGCTGATGGCACTATGGGGACACAACAAAAATGGGTGTGAACAGGAACACCATAATAAATGAGATTCCTGGCTAACTTAGCTTCTATTTATCTACTGGTTTCCTAAAGTAAGAGGTGGCTTTGTCACTGTACAGCAGGGACGTAAAAATGTGTTTACAAAAATGTAACCATGTCACTGTTAAAAATCATAATGGTTAACACATGCTGGCAGGCTCTGCAATATTAAAAAAAACTTAAATAAGTTTTATACTGCAGAGTCCATAGCAAAGCCACCCCAGGGACAAGGCCAGGGATGCTGCCAGCCCTACTCCTGGGGAGGAGACTTCATTGCAGCAATGAAGTCTCCTCCCGAGGATCGGGACTGGCAGAGGCTGCTAATTGGCCTCTCTCCCAGGGAGACTGTGTGTAACATATGGAGAGGCAGGGGGGAGACAGCCAGGGGCTGCTCTGGACAGGGGCTGCTCTGGCGGGTACCATGGGGCTGGAACAACCTCCTGCCCAGGGGAGGCAAGGAGATGTTCCAGCCCCAACCTCAAAGGTGAGGAACCCTTTTTGGATCAAGGTCCGCTGACCCATAGAAAAATCAGTTGGGGTGGGAGGGCCACACAAAAGTGAGAAACAAAAACAAAATAAAAACAACCTACCTCTCTCAACCTCTCACTAACGTGGACCCCAACTGAGAAGCAGAAAGAAATTCCCCACATTCCCCTTGCACACCAGAGCCCAAGGGGACACCCAGGCTAGTAGAGGGGTGGCGGAGTGGCTGGATTGCCAGCATAGGCTCCCCCAGTGCTGGAGAGAGACCCCTGAGGCTCAGAGGGCCAAATCCAGGCAAGGCAGGCCTTAGGTTCCCCACGCCTGCCCTACCAGTTAACCTTTTACATCCCAACTGTCCAGTAGATAGTGGTATTGAAGATCTTATCTGAGACAGCAAGCAGGAAATTGAACATACAGCAAGCATGCTTAGTAATATGCAATTTACTCCTAGAAATGGCATTATAGGATGTGAACATACCAAATGCGGAGGCTCGTTCTTGCCAAGTGGTTCCTGCATATTAAAAAAATATAAACACCATAAACAATTATTTTTAACAGGAATTCAAATCCCTTAAACTTTAAAAAATAGTTAGGCATTCTGAGGCTGAAATTCCTTTATATCTTATTCCTGACATTTTCCTCCTCAAGTCTCTGTGTAATTTGGGAGATATTGGCCCATGGCCTCTGTTAGCTTAGGCCTTGCAAGTTTAATATGTGGACACCAACATAACTAACTATTTAGAAATCCATTTGTAGAGTCAGAGCAACCCCTTTGTGTAGAGACTCAAACTTCTAAGGGCATAACTCCCCTTATTTCGAAATAACAAAACAAGCATCCACACTACCCAGCCTGTTATACTGAAATAATGGGCTTGTTATTTCAAAATAGTAACTCTAGTTCGTGAAGAGGAATAAGTTTATTTTGAAATACTTATTTCGGGAGTTATTATTTCAAAATAACCTGCTAGTGCAGATATAGCCTGGTAGTATAGATATAGCCTAAGTGTTGATTTATACCAATTCCTTATTAAGCCTTCCCATCGCCCATACACACACATTCACTACACTGCAATGCATCTGTTCAATCAAGAATGGTTAACCAATTTCAATATCCCTTCTAGTTTTCTGAATTTGAATGAAACATTTATTATATTGGTGGCTGGGTTTGTTTGTTTGACAGTAGGGTTTTAGGAGTCCTGGAATTTAATCTGAGCAAGTTGTATTTTTATTTTTTGGGTTTGAAATAGAAAAGACAAAAACAATAAGCTATAGCTCAGTTTTAGCATAAAGCAATACAGGAAAATTAAAGATTAAAATACTTGACAAATTAGCAATAAGGCAACAGGTAGACTGAGTGGTAAATTCAGTTTTTAGGGCCAGAATAATCCATTTGTGGACATCTAGTAAAGGGACTGGAATCTAAAAGTTCTCCTTGTGGAGTTTCCCTAGCATTTATTGTTGGGGGCTGGGTTGATGCAAAGTTCACATTGCACAATAATAGGGAGATTCAGTCCCCATAATTTGAATAGATTGTTATCAATTAAATAGATAAGTTAGCTTCATTTCCTTGCCTGAACAATAAAATCATTGTGCCACAGAATTTTGAATTCATGTTGCTTTCTGAACTTTCTTTTTGATGAATTACTACAATAACTCACCAACTTAAGGGGTCGAATTGACATGATGGTCTCACTGGATCCTCCCCAGTCAAAAAAGCATTTATATTTTCCTTTTTCCAGGATATATTGCTCTCCACAGAAATATTTCTGCTGATATGCAACCCACCTGAGGAGCGACACACATGAAACAAGCTGTGATGCACCATCCAAAAAGTTATCAGTAAGTTAAACTTAATAAAAAAAAAACTTTCCAGGAAGTTTTATAAATGCTTTACCTGTTCATGTGACATTAATAAATTGTACATTATAGACTGTACAACATGTCTTGTGGTATGCAGTAATAAGGCACGTGAATCACAAACCTAGAGCAATCCTGATTTTCTGCTTTTTGGCTACACAAATACTCTTGACAAACCCTTGCAGCATTAGATCTCTCTCCCCATTCTCAGGTAATTTCTTAGCATGAAGTGATGGCAGCCAAGTATCTAAGAGATTAAATACTCAACTGTCAAATACCTCTCTGCTTCATTAACACTTAAGTTGTTCCCAGACAGGACTTTCCCCCAACTCTTTCCAAGTTAGATTATTCTAAGGAAAGAAAGGAAGCAGGCAAGGAAGCTTTGATAGGCAGAGATAAAGGGACACTTGCAATGACTGGTAATTCGTTGTTATTTTCTTCTTCTTGAATTTGATTGCAAAATCCAAGGCAAACAGAAAATGTTTATAGTGAACACAACAAAAAGTGACAGCATGTACACATTACTGTCCTGGTCCACTTTTATAGAGTCTGTGTAATTCTTTATACTGTGTAAAGGTTTTCTTTAAAAAAAGTGTTTAAGAAAACTCTCTCTCTCATTCATATATATATATATCAAACAAATTAGTAACTTGAAAAGGAACCTGATAAAACATTTCAAACAGAATTAAATGAACTTTAAGCTGCCATAAGATGGCTGGAACCATATAAATGGCTGATGATCCTTGGCTGAAGAAAGAGTAATTACATCACAGCATTCAAGGAAAGAGAGGAAATAAAGGGGAAAGTGGGAGCAGCTTTGACTATGACAAGAAAAGAGGCATAGTAAACAAAATGAAAAGAATCATTTTCAAAGAATCTGTAAAACTAAACTACCGGTACATTCTTCTATTCAGTTCCTTACATAGACCTCGTCATCGTAGTATCCAAGTGTCACCCACACCAATGCTTTAAGCATCTCAACCAACATCTTTGACATATGGTTTTGTTCCTCATTGCGCAGGGGAATTTGAGTAGTGATTTTTGAAATTTAATTGACTATAATAGATGTGCATTGTCCTACACATTTCTCTTATCAAAAGCAAGGTCAGAGAAATGCACATTGCATTTGGAGTGGAAGGTTGTGAGGCTTTGATGCTTCTTAGCAATCTGCTACCCTTACTTGGTAGACTGTTATCGTTCTTAGCAATTCTACAGCCATTATGGATACAAATTAGTCACAATGAAGTAACAATAGTGAGGGTTGCGGAATCAGGGCCTACATCTGTGAAATGCGGTCATATAAAACCGTTACTGTCACTACCAACTGCAATGCTGACAAGAACCAAGAGAACTTTATATTGTTGGATTCCAAATATAGTCTATATATAGTTCAAGAGAAAGTCAGGACCCACAAGCCAACAAAACAAAACAAAAGGTCAAAACCTCTGCAAACAATGCAGAGTAGAAGAGCAACATACAGAGGAGACATTTTGATGTTTTCAATCATCTCAAAAAAACACAGATTGTCCTCCCTCCATGTTTATTTTGTCTTCTAAGTATACCATGAAGAATTAAAAATCTGAAAACACTGTGCAGTCAAATCATTTAATTCTTGCATTCTAAAAAGCATCTTATACAAGTGTGCTATAGACTTACACTCCACTTTTCACATGAATTGATCTCGTCTCCTGACCAAACCCAAATTGCTGTAAATCAGGAATATCTTGATTGACAATGATCTTCCCATCATCTTCATCGGATTCAAAAAGGATGACTGATGACTCGATAAAATCCTAAAAGGCAACACTGAATGTTAAGATAAATACGTTAACTATTTAGGGTTGCCAGATGGTTTCAACAAAAATACCGGACACACTTGACATTACATCACATCTTATTTAGAAAATACCAGACATTTATATTTTCTCATTTATATTTTATCAATTTGTTTCCTCAACAGAAAGCTCAAATACTGGACTGTCTGGTTCAAAACTGGACACCTGGCAACCCTATAACTATTTAGCAACAGCGTGGTATGTACAACCTAGCAAAGGGATTTCTCATACTCTTATATTGTAAGCAGTCCTAACTATATACAATCAGAGGCTGGCCATATTTAGGGGCATTCATGTTCAACCATTTTTTTTAATACTTGTATAGATAAGGGAAAGTGACTCCATAACCACATTACAAAGAAGAATTGTGAGAATAGTAGCCTAAGAATAACATTTTTAAAAACACTTAGCCATGCCCCCACCAGGGCTACCGAGACATGTTAGCAGCCAGTCACTTCCTGGAGGAACGTGGAGTCACAGTATGCAGGCAGTCTACCTAAACCCTGTTGCACCACTGGACTTTTAGTGGCCCAAAGATTGTGAACAACTTCCAGAGGCTCCAGGATCAATGGGCTAGTGACCACTGCTATAGGTAATTATGAATTTATTTTTGCAGGGAAGGGTGGGCTTAGCCTGGAGCTGCAGTCTCTAATGCCCCTGTTTCTGCATGCCACTGGATATGACTCTTAGTGGTCCTCTCCACGCAAGTACAGATGTAAGGTTTGCCAGTGTTAAAAGGTGACAAGGCCAATTTGTCTGCAATTTACACAGATTCAGTGGCCAAAAATCAGAGCCTTTAGAAGTAACTACAGGGAAAATAATTGTAAGCTACTAATAAAAATAAAGATATCCATATTTTGTTATTTACAGTCGTCTTAAATTCTGACCAATAAATTACACTATTTAGATATTCATCAATGACACACACACACACACACACACACACACACCCCTTTCCTAGGATTATAAACTCTTAAGATTTAGTACTGAAAAAATTACTTGTCAGCTCTCTGAATGGCACCGTTTATGTATCTAGAGCAGAGTTTCTTAAACTTTTGAGACCACGGAACACTAAAGAGTATTTATTTTTCCATTAATTGCAAGGCAAACAATGTAGGAGTGTTAAAAATAATTCCAAAAGGAGTCCAGTTAGTCTGTTTAACAGTTGCTGCACATATTTTAAATAAAACAAATAATGAACTCTAACTATATGGCTAAAATTGCTGATGGGATGGCTTTTTAGTAGACAATAGCTTAAGATATAGATTTTAGAAGAGTTAGTAACCAAGAGATTAAACAGCTTTATTTGCAACAGACGATATCTCTTGTAATGATTTTTGGAGTCAAATGAACTCCGGAAGCAGTGCTCTCAGACAGAACAGGTTTATTTTGTCCATCTATCTATGGTACCTATATAGCTCCCCCCGCCCCTGCATTACTGTAGTATCCCAACCTTTAACAATCTTTACTGAGATTCTCTTCACAGCGTTTTATTGAAGCAGAGCAGTGCTATTATCCCCATTGTACAGGGGCCTGAACCTGAGGCCCAGAGAGACTAAGTGACTGGCCCAAAATCACAAAGAAAGTGTGTGGGAGGGCAGAACTCAGAGCTATCAAATCCCAGGTTAGTGACTCAAACTACTGGTAGAATCAAACTGCAAGGCATCGACAGCATTAGTTGTTTTATCCTGATCATGTAATTTTTATAGTTATACCACTAGGTGCCAAACAGTTCATGGAGCACATTTTGATAGGAAATATATACTGCAGTCCAAACATTTAGACCAGTTCTTATCACTAAAGCACCACAAACTTTTATAAAGTCATACTGCCCAGTACACTACTCTGGCAATGTAAAGGAGCCTTAAAACTTTTACACCCGTTTCCTACTCCTAGAAGAATTCAGAAAGACAATGGGAAAAACTCACTAAGCAGGAAGGCTACTACATTCTGCTCTGCCTGAGGGGTCAGAGCCTGTCCTACTCTTGTCTCCATAGAAACACCCCAAAGCCCTGCCCCTTCCCTTCATGCTGAAATAGATAGCAAGATGCTGATGTTTATTAAAAAACCCACCTTGACTGAACCTCCGGCTCACCTATTCATGGGAACTCAGCAGGCCCACCAATAAGGGAGGGCAAAAGGGCCAGTTGCCCCGGGGTCCAGCGATTCAAAGGGGCCTGGGGCTATTAGCTGCCATTGCTGCTATTGCAGCAGCTGAAGATCTTGTCTTTTAAATTGCTGCTGGAGCGCTGTGATGAATGCTCTGGGAGACTAAGGGCTGGGGTGCGGGAGTAGAGTAGCACGCTCTGGGGGAGGAGGGAAGAGGGTGGTTGACCTGGCCCTGCCCATTCTACCTTCTGGGAGCATGGAGCTGCCTCTCTCACACCTTGCCTGTGGGCCCTGAGAAAGCTGTCAGCTCCCCTGGAACTCAGACACCTTTAAACTAAGACACAGACTCAAAGTCCCAACTCCCTATTTCAAAATGAGCCTCTGAGAAATGGTCTCTTGCTTTCAACCCTGTAGAAGTTTGTCCTCACTTCATGTCAGCTGTATGGCAGCGCTTACTCTATCACAAAGGACAAGATAAGCCTAAAATTCTCTTTGAGGTGACTTCAAAGATTACTGTAAATACAATAGTATCAACAATCTAAATATCAGCCCATAGGTGTAACACATTCCATTTATATTTTTACAACAAGAAACAAAAGATTCAGAAGAGTAATGATAAAGAGGATTCATAACAGCAAGTTCCCTGGCAGAAGGATATTTTCCTAATAGCAGAAGATTCATAGAAGCTTAAAGATTTTCACACCTCAAAAGTTAGCTACAATATTACTGATTTAAACATAAATATGTATCTCAGAATATGTAACAATTCCAGTATTTCCTTAAAAAGATCATGTCTTTTAAAGTCTCCGAATAACATGCTAGACTACCTGACATGGGTATAGACAATACAATGCTTCATGCCTAAATCTAAAGCAAAAAATTCCTAGAACATCCATAGTGATTAACAAGGAGACCTTTTTTTTAGAAAGCTACAGAAAAATATACTGACAAGCAGGTTTTTAATCAATCCCAGCAAAACTATAAGACCCTTCTTTGCAGGGAATGCCATTGCCCTAAAAAAGTCCTATTTCTCATTACCTGTACAGTAATCAATACACTTGGTTTATGACAGACCTGCTTAGTTGCACAATTATTTTAACAAAAGTTGATCATTAGATGCCGCATTGCAATCAGGACTGTAT